GGAGGTAGAAACGGGCGGGAGAGTTGGTGCATGTTGTCCAGCATTGAATGGGAGCGAGGAAGGCTGCTGTACAAGAGAGATACCAGTGTCATTTGCCCCCATGTGACTACGGGAGCCCGATCTACTGTGACCTGCTCCTATACCTGCTGTACCTGGATCAGAAGGCTCATCTTCGGCGACGTTGGGAGCGGGAGCGAGCTTGGACATGTAAGATTGAGGTCGATTGGTAGCTCTTGCAAAATTAGCAGGTCGACTCGCAGGCTTGATTGGAGTCGGCTCAGCCGAGCTATAATTGATGAATGGAGGTGGCTCAGGAATGGCTGAACCAGTTCCATGATTCGATACAAAATATTCAATGTCCTTCTCTACATCTAGTCGTTCTAGTGCCAACCGGATGGCTTCGCAAGACTACAATAGAAGTATTAGGAATATCAAGATGGGCCGTGTGGAAAAGACTTGCCTCGTCCTCATTTACACACATGGTCGATACAGCATTCGCGTACGCCCAGATGTTGTCTTTCATGAATTCTAGCCTTTCTTCCTCCAAATCTTGACACTGGTCGCAATATGTTTTCCATTCTTTGTCCCACCTAGCGACCGTGTCCGCCAAAGCACGTGTGAAGTTTTGGTAATCCCGCTTGTTACTTTCGATAGTACCTTGTGCGCGCTCTAATTTAAGTCCAATCTTTTCTAGCTCCTTTCCTTGGACCAGACCTTGTTGGGCGGTGTATGAATTGACTCGGTGACAGTCCTGTTCATACCGCTCCTTAGCTTTCGCAACATAAGTCTCGTTTACTTGCTTCTGCTTGAAGGTCTTCTCAACTGCAGCATGGTACTTTGTAATTACGAAGACGTGAGAACGGACCGGATATAAGCGCCGACGAGACGTACGTTTTTCTTATGATTTGCTTGCTTACTTGCAAACTCTGCGACTGGACCCTCAAGTTCCTTCTTTATCGACACGGAAAGCGTGAGGTGTTGTCCAGCCTGGCGTTCGGTTTCCTGACGAATGACATCCAAAGAATTCTTAAGCTCACTGCCCGTAGCCGGTTCATCAGAGTGTGATCATGTTACAGTCCAGCAAAGAGGACTCACGCAACTTCACCCTGTCCAAGTGTCTGCTTAGATAGTCGTAAAAGTCGCCTTGCGTACTCATCCTCGATTGCCGCTCTGTTTACAGATCATCCATTAGCCGCTGGAATTCGCCCACCCCCGGTTTCGAGCACAACAAAATGGAATGAGCATTACCTTTCCCTCCAGAAATTCCGTAGATCCTCGACAGTCTTGGAAGCGATACGCATACGCGTAAAGAGTACTTCCACTCCCGCATCATTAAGGCCCCAAAACGAATTACAAAATTCCATTGCTCGGTTCTCTAGCTCAGGGTCTTCGGGTGGTCGTGAGTAGCGTGATAGAGATGATTGAGAAGGCTGCCTACGCGCCGACATGCAAAGTGGTCGTGCGGTCCAAGTCCAACTTTGGTGTCTGACCCCGATCCTGACCCCCAACCGGGATTTCTACACAGCGCCCACTTTGAAGCTAGAAACCATCAATAAAGTCGGAAACATATATTCTTTGAAAGTCCAGTTGTTGTTTCGATGAGCGCCGTCCCATTGGAAACAACCTTGAGCAATTTATCCTAAGTGACCTCCCTTTGTAAACCGACTCAAGAATTGACACCGATGGATTGATATCGAGAATGGAGAAAGAGTACCGGAATAAAGTAAGTCGGGGATCTTTTGTCAAGTAATTTCGCTGCTTTCGACGCCACCAAAGGAATGGACTCCTTTATCAAAACCTGGAACTGACCTCAACCTTACAATTTCTTTTTCCCATTAATTCTGCACAGTTATATCAAAAGCTCTTTATTCGTCGTGGCCTAGTGGAAAAGGGACTGGATCCTTGGTCTTGACTGCTTGGGTTTCCAAATTTGCTTCCAGTTGGTTCATAAACTCTCGAACGCACCACAAGACCAAATACAAGGCTGGTCCTTTCAATTTCTCCAATGTTTGTGCGTCAAAATAGCGAACTGCCGTTCGTCTCGCCGTCTCTCCACCATGCTCAGCCGTATGGCCCTGAGCCATCCCCTCCAACGAGCCGTCTACATTCCTTCATCACTCGTCCCGTCTCCGTGCATATTCACAACCCTTTGCATGCTCGATACCCACTCGTTGCTTCCAAACCCCGAAGGACTGACAGGCCGCGCCTCTTCTCCGACCCTTCTTCTGCTAGAAGTCGGCCATCTATTACCGAGCTAGAGAAAGGATACACAGGACAAACTAGTGCGAGTAGCTCCCGTAGTGTGAGTGAAGTAGGCTCGGATGAAACTCGAGTCACCAATCTCATGTGGAACTCTGTCTTCGAGCCCCTCAAGCTAGGCAACATGAATACGCTCAAGAGGCCAGCCGCGTCTTGTACCGAAAGTATGCGGCGAGTCACCAGCTGCACTTCGATGAACTCTGTTGGATCCCTTGCTTCTGTAACTGGGTATGATCCTCACGACCCGAGGATCACGGGAAAGCTCAAGGAGAAAGGGAGTGTCCAGTTACCTTGTAAGTACCCACGGACACGAGATTCCTCCTGTTGATCTTATATATGTAGCCTCAGAAGACGGACAGAAATTCATCTTGCTGTTAAGCGAGGCACTCATGAAGTTTGGAGCCCCTTCTCATCGAATTGAATCTCAGCTGAACT